TTTAAAAATGATAATGGAAAGAACAAAAGTTCTAAATTTTCGTCGGTTTACATTTATCTTTATACATAAAAATATTTTATTTTGATAATTATATTTTTAAATATATTCTTCGACATTTTTTTGAACTTTGCACAAATAATATTTTGCTACCCTTGTTATTTTTGTTAGATTTCTAGATTGGATATTAATAATGTTTCGGCCAGCATTATTCCAAATCCAGAAATGAAAATATTTGAATGTAAATATTTTGAGAGAGATAAATAAAATTAAAAATTAAACAGTTAAGTACATTTTTCCATAATTAAAATAAGGAATAATGAAGAATAAAGAGAACATTATCCAAGCATAACATTAAAAAAATTGATGATCAGGCATCTACCAGGGATGAGATTGTTGGGAACGACATGAAATTTCTTGGTAACGGTCCTATGTTCGAACCTCCAGGTAAGCTTAATACAGCGGGTGCATAGATCTTCTAAAATTTAGAAGCACTAATGTCATCTAACAAATTCAAAATCAAAATCTCCACGTGTTATACTAAAAAAAACTACTCAAATTTTGCTTGATGTATAATATATTAATCTCTATGTTAAAAAAACATGAAATCTATGAACATGTATAACCAATTTAATTATTTAATTATTGTTCATTTGAAGTCAATAAAATTTGGAGTATCTCAATCAACCCTACACGTTGGGTTAATATGTTTTCCTTGGACTTTATCATCAATGATTTTTTAAGGAAGAAATAAAAGTGGTGATCATAATGATAAATTTTTTAATATTCAAGTTGTAAGGTTATATTAATATGGATAAATATATATAATTTTATCTACAAACTACTTGTATTAAAAAAAAAAAAAAAAACTACAAACTTGTTTTTAATACTTCCAAAATTATTTTATCCTGAAATAGTAATCTAGGGTAGATAATCCATTATTATTTCTAGTCTATCAAATAAATATTAAGGGCTTGTTTTTTCGATTTTTGGTTTTAGTTTTTAAAAATTAACCTTGACTTTTTATAATTTCTTTGGTAATTTTTTTCACGCTACTCTTTCAAACACATACACATGAATTTTTAGTCAACTTCATAATAAAACAAACATTTTAAAAACAAGATAAACAACAAAGAAACACATATTAATATTCTTAAACTTAATTTTTAAAAATAGAAAACCAAAAACAAAATATTTTTCAAACATGAATTATTTTTCTTTTAAATTATTTGAAAAACAATATTTAAAAAATAACTCTGCAAAATCATTGGGTGTTACTTAATTCTATTTTCATTTTTTTTATACTTACTTTGCATTTACAAGTAAAGAAATAATAAAGTAATAAAGATAGAAAACACGAAATAATAAACAAGATTTTTTAATTCAAACTTTTGTTTACAATTTTGGAAAAGTTCTTAAAAATGAGAAATAGAAAACAATGATACAAAGACCTGTTCTGTAATAATTTTATTTTTAGTTTTTAATTTTTTAAAATTTTATTTACTTCCTCCCACAATTTTTTAGTATATATTTTTAATATTTAAAATGCATTTTATAAGATTAATAATCTATTTAATTAAGTTTCTACAAACAAATTTGTAACTTAAAAAAAAAAAACAGAAAACATGTAATAGCTAAACAATATGGTCAAAAGCGATAAATAGAAACTTTTTATAAAAATTAATGAGTTGTCAATTTTTCAATGATACGACCCGTTAAGGAGCTAAGCATTTTCCATAGTAATAGTAAAATGACCAAAATGCATAGATCCGATGGGAGAGATAAGCTACCCACAAAACACAAATATTTTAAATTCTCGATTGTTTGAATTAATGATCTAAAATGCTTATCTTGATATCCAAAGAAGAAGAGGAAAAAAAACTGTTTCGATTATTTAAACTTTGTATCAGAATCCCACATGTATCTGATATCTCAGTTCCAGATAATCAAGACAGCTAATTTAATCATTTAAAAAGACTCTCTCTTCTAATTGTTGGCTAAGTTCCCACTTCTCAATTAATTTAATGTAATCAATTGAGTTAGAACATGTCAAATACAGATTAACATAAATAGGAATGGTAATTAAGCTAATAAATTATTCAATAATTTCCACATCATTGTTGTCTATATATTGGTTTCCCCATTCCAATGATGGCCGCCGTATCTAACATACAAATCCCTCCTCTTTCTGTTTTCTCACTGAAAAAAGTTCATCATATTAATAAATGGCGGTTTATAGGTCTTTCATGAAGCCAAACCAGCATTTCTTCCAAACCCAGGAACCCCATGCGCCAAAATCCACTTCCACTTCCAAAAAACAGGTCATTTTTCGCCTTTTTACTTTTTATCCTCCGATTTAAAAAAAGAGGAGCAAGTGTAAATTGGTCATATTTTTCACGTGGATTGCAGTTGCTTTTGAGAGCTGTGAGAAATAACGCAGATGGCGAAGAGAGGAAGATGACAATTAGTAAGGAGAAAAACGGAGGAGAAAAACCAGTGACGCCATTGTTGGACACAATTTGTTACCCAGTTGACATCAAGAATCTGTCTCTGCAGGTAATAAAATCAAAGGAAAATTTTGGTGTATTTAGTCCTTAATTAATTATGCTGACATTGATTTAATTTGTTTCAGGAAGTTGAAGAAATGGCAGAGGAAATTCGAGAAGAGATTGTATATTCAGTATCGAAATCAGGTGGGCATTTAGGTTCCAACTTGGGAACTGTGGAGCTCACGCTGGCGTTGCATTACGTCTTCAACGCACCACAAGACAAGCTCCTGTGGGACGTTGGTCATCAGGTCCAAACAACAAAACCATATTATAATTATTGTCACTTTTTCCATATATATTGTTAAGTATAGTGATACCTTGACTATCTCCACAATGGTATGATATTGTTCGCTTTAACGTAGCTCTCACGAATTTGCTTTTGATACTATTCAAAAGGCCTCATGTACTAATGAGTTTGCGATCATCTTACAAACCCAACGTATATAAATATATAAGAATGATTGAATATAAGTATTACTGAATTAAGGAGTGATTTTGGTAGAATCATTTTTACTCGTGTAATTAGAGGTGTTATTATTTTTTATTTATGAAGTGCAGGCATATACACACAAGATTGTTACGGGGAGGAGGAGTAGAATGCACACTATAAGGAAGCATGGGGGACTCTCAGGTTTCCCCACGAGGAATGAGAGTGTTTATGATGCTTTTGGGGCTGGACACAGCTCTACCACTATATCTGCTGCTCTTGGTATTGTTTATGTTTCAATTACATTCTCACCTTTTAAAATCCCATAGTTTTCTTTAGACGTGGCAGAGATAATTAACGATGCCCTAACATTGTGTGTGCAAAATTTCTAAACTTTGTAATTCAACTTAAAACTTTTTAAAAGCAAACTCAAACCATATATTTAAGAACTAATTGGAATGATAATGTAACCACGGGTGTATGTGTTACTAATTCGGTGACAAAATTGGAAAAAAAAAATGAAGGCATGGCGGTTGCTAGGGATTTGGTAGGGCAAAACAACAACGTAATTTCAGTGATCGGAGACGGAGCCATGACGGCGGGCCAAGCATACGAGGCCATCAACAACGCCGGCTATCTCAACGCCAATCTCATCGTCATCCTCAACGACAACCGCCAAGTCTCTCTGCCGACCGCCACCCTCGACGGCCCTACGCCGCCGGTCGGAGCCCTCAGCGCCGCCTTAAAAAGTTACACGTCGTCCTCCTCCGGTGGTAATCTGTTCCGAGATCTTGGGTTCTGCTACGTGGGTCCGGTGGACGGCCACAATGTCAGAGAATTGGTGGCCACTTTTCAACAGGTGAAGGAACGGTCCGATCCGGGTCCGGTTTTGATCCACGTCTTGACCGAGAAGGGCAAGGGCTATCCTCCGGCCGAGGCCGCACCGTATAAGATGCATGGTATATAAATTTGGTCCCTCAATTAATTGTAGTAATTATTAAAAAGAAAATTTGAAAATTTAAAAGCGTAGTAAGAAAATTGAAATTACACTAAGGAATTTACGTAATGTTAATAATAAAAATATATAATAGGAGTTGTGGAATTCGAGGCGAAGACTGGGAAGCAAATGAAGAGCAAAAGTGGGGGGCTTTCATACAGCCAATACTTTGCGGAGGCGTTGATAAAAGAAGCGGAATCGGACGAGGCGATCGTGGCGATCCACTCGGCGATGGGCGGCGGAACAGCGCTTAATTACTTCAAGAAGCGCTTTCCGGAGCGGTGCTTCGACGTGGGGATCGCCGAGCAGCACGCCGTGAGTTTCGCGGCGGGGCTCGCGGCGGAGGGCATGAAGCCCTTTTGTTCCATTTATTCCACCTTCCTCCAACGGGGATTCGATCAGGTCTCACACCCTATGCTACTATGACCTTTTTACAATACCCAATTTTTTTTTTCAAAACATATTTAAACTTTTAGCTAAAATTTAAAATAAAAAAAATTTAAAATTAAAAGCCAGCATACATCATTGATAATTATAATTAAAGATTGCGAGTTTGATTCCCAGTAAAAAAAATGAAAATTACTTTTTTGGGATTTTGAAAATGTCTTTAAATAAAATTGATTGGAAGCTTAATTTTCAAAATAAAAAAAATCAAAAATAAATTGTAAGCTTAATTTTCAAAAAATAAAAAAGTTAAAAAAAATATTATCAGCCGGGTTCCATATTCATTTCAATTTATAAATTTTGCATGAAAAAAGTTATGCTTTTGGTACTAAGATTTGGGTTTAAATACATTTAGAAAATAGTTTCAATTTTACTCCAAACAAATTGTTGTTAGTAACTATATATATATATATATATAATCTCATTAGCATATTATTAATTTTCTTTAATTATTTTATAGGCATGTGAAAAGACTTTTGAACTTATATTAATAGGACAAGTAATTGGGTTTTGAAAAAGCTTTTTTTAACGAGTTAAAAAGTAAGAATTAAGATGTCTTTATAGATAAGTCTAAAGATAGAAAATAACAGATAAATATGAACTAGAATAAGATTTAAACTTACGACGACGATGCATCTCTAAATGAGACATCGGCGAAAAATGTAGGTACATGATGTAGACCTTCAAAAATTACCAGTCCGCTTTGTGGTGGATCGGGCGGGTTTGGCAGGTCCTGAAGGTCCGACCCATTGTGGAGCATTTGATATATTACATACCTCTTGTTTGTCCAATATGATCGTCATGGCTCCATCTGATGAAGCTGAACTTATTCACATGGTGGCCACAGCAGTTGCCATAGATGACAGACCAAGCTGCTTCAGGTTTCCAAAGGCAAATGGAAGTGGATTAACACTTCTCCCTCCTAATAACAAAGGAACCCCACTTGAGGTTTGGCTTCAACAAACCATGTTTAATTACAAAAACATTCAAACTTTGGTCATAAAACAACCTTAGCAAATTAGTCTCATCATTCAATTTTTTTGAAAAATTAATTCTTTTCCCAAATGGTTACTGTCCTTCATGTTTGAGCAGATTGGAAAGGGTAGGATATTGATGGAAGGGGATAGAGTAGCTCTCTTGGGGTATGGATCAGCAGTTCAACAATGTCTTGAAGCAGCTACAATGCTGAAAAGTCGAGGGGTTTCTACGACGGTTGCAGATGCAAGATTTTGCAAGCCTCTCGACGCAACGCTCGTCAAACGCTTAGCTAAGGAGCACGAGATCGTTATTACTGTAGAGGAAGGTTCAATAGGAGGTTTTGGATCACATGTATCTCAGTTCTTAAGCTTGGCTGCAATTCTAGATGGACCCCTTAAGGTAACATTGAAAAGTTTTTCCAATTGTTTAGACCCCGTTTGATAACGATTTTGTTTTTAATCTCCCGTTTGGAACTTATCATCTTGCAGTTTAGGGCTATGGTGCTTCCAAATAGATACATTGACCAAGGGTTGCCTCAGCACCAGCTTGAGGAAGCTGGTTTGTCTTCTATGCATATTGTTGCACAAGTTTTATCTCTTCTTGGGAGAGACCAGAAGAAGGTGATCTATCAACCAAAATCAGTGTAGAGAATCCAACATTTTGCTAAGGGCTTTGTATAATTGTGCTAGGATAGATTATTTTCTACAGTAAACGTGTATTTTAAGTAGAATATCTCATCTATATATGCATCCATATTGTATAATATGATTTGTTATTGAATACAGACTACACATATAATATAATTTGTACTTTCAAGTAACTATTTGGCCACTCAATTCAAAAGTACTTGAAAGAATGTGTTTAGAACTGTGAATATAGTGATAAGTCAGAGAGAACAAGAGCTCATATTTGAAGTGAAAGAGCCTCCTTTGATCTCCCCAAAAGAGATAACACTGTTGTAGCTATATGTCTTGAGGAGAGTCCAGCCTGTTCAATCTGCTCCTCTGTTGATCCATGGTCAATATATCTATCAGGAAGAACCATACTCCTAAACTGCAACAACAGAAACCAATTTCAGTGGTTTCTGTACATGGTTCAAGAAAAACAAAATCACTTTTCTGATCTTAAAATGAATTAGAAAGAGTAGTTATATACCTTGATCTTTTGGTCCAAAATCGCAGTTGCACTTAGGAAATTGAACACGTGAGTTCCAAAGCCACCGATAGAACCTTCCTCCACGGTCATGAGGATTTCATGTTGGGTGGCCAACTGCTTAATGAGCTTTGTGTCTAAGGGCTTGCAGAATCTTGCATCCACAACTGTGATTGAAGTGCCTCTGGCTTTCAATATTCCTGCGGCTTCGATGCATTGTTGAACTATTGAACCGTACCCCAAGATGGCAACGTGATTGCCTTCCAGTAGTACTCTACCCTTCCCAATCTGCTCACCAATCAGTGCAAGTGATAGCTTAATGTTCTTGAAAGGTTTTCAAGGAAAATTTCTAGCACCAGTAGTTCTTGTAGAAGAACTGGAAGATCACTTGGAAGTGAAGTGAAAATGAATGGAAAATCATATTTATAATCGTTGGATGGTAATTACCTCAAGTGGGGTTCCTTTGTAATTAGGAGGAAGAAGAGCTCCAACTCCATTGCCCCTGGGAAACCTGAAGCAGCTGGGTCTGTCGTCTATGGCAGCTGCGGTTGCCACCATGTGAATCAGTTCAGCTTCATCAGATGGAGCCATCACCACCATGTTCGGCAAACAAGCCATGTATGTTATGTCAAACGCCCCACAATGCGTTGGCCCATCGGCTCCCACCAAACCGCCTCGATCCAGTGCAAACCGGACCGCTAGTTTCTGAAGGTCTACATCATGCACCACCTAATTCATACATAGTATAGTTTCTTTGAGGCCAACCTCAACCTAATTCAACTAACATATATCTCCGATCAGAGTTCGTATGTTCTTCAAACAAAAAAAAAAAAAACATAGTTCCTTTTGTAATTTTAATTACACCCTTTCCTTTAAATTTCAATAACATTAATAATTAATATTGACATATTAAACCTGATCAAATCCTCGTTGAAGGAATGTGGAGTAAATAGCACAGAATGGCTTCAAGCCCTCCGTGGCCAAACCAGCCGCAAATGTAACAGCATGTTGCTCAGCAATCCCCACATCAAAGCAACGACTTGGAAACTTGTTCTGAAAATAGTTCAGGCCAGTTCCCCCTCCCATGGCTGCGTGAATCCCAACGATCTTGTCATCTAACTCCGCTTCTTTTATCAACGACTCGGCAAAGTACTGAGTATACGAGAGAGTGGATGATTTGGTCTTAAATTGCTTCCCCGTTTGAGGGTCGAACCGGACTACTCCTGGAAAAAGTGAAACTTTTTCGTGAGTCTATCACTTAAGGGCTCATTTGATAACATTTTTGTTTCTTGTTTATAGTTCTATTGAGATACTTAAGCATGTAACAACTATTTATGTTTCTTGTTTCTTATTCTTTTAAAAACATTCCCAAAATTGTATAGAAAGTTAGTTGGTACCATGCATTTTATCGGCGGCTGCCTCAGCTGGAGGGTAGCCCTTGCCTTTCTCTGTAAGGACATGGATCAGAACTGGCCCAGGGACGGGCATTTCTTTAACCTTTTTGAAAATGGCCACTAATTCTCCAACGTTGTGGCCATCCACTGGCCCTACGTAGTACAGCCCAAGCTCTTCGAAAAATGTAGATCCCGATCCGCTTATCATGGCCTTTGCAAACTCATCCACTATTGCTGCAGCTTCATGAGCCTGCCTCCCTATTTTTTGTGTCATGCTCTTCAAAAATGAAACAAAGGTACGTTTTTTTAATCAAACATCCTAAATCACAGCAATGACTACTTGGACTAGTGTTTTCTTGACCTTAGCTGCGTGACGTAGTTTGCGGAATTTGGTGCTTGCTTGGAGGTGAGTGAGGGCATTATTGCTGAGAGCGCCAACAGGAGAAGCGGGGCCATCGAGTGTGGCGGTGGGCAGAGAGACTTGTTTATTGTCATTCAAGACGATGATGAGATTAGCACGAAGATGGCCTGCATTGTTCATTCCCTCGTAAGCTTGACCTGCCGTCATGGCTCCATCTCCGATCACCGAGATCACGTTGTGATTCTTTCCCAGCAGATCTCTGGCAACAGCCATGCCTGTCAAAAGAAAAATACTTAGGTGCTGACCGGTCAGCACGATAAGAAAGAGAGAAATATAATGATATATGCATCGTACCGAGACCAGCTGATATACTGGTAGAACTGTGGCCAGTGCCAAAAGCATCATAAATGCTTTCGTCCCTTTTGGTGAAACCAGCAAGCCCTGAACTTTGCCTAATGGTGTGCATTTCAGACCTTCTGCCAGTCAGGATTTTATGTGGGTATGCCTGAAATTGAAAATGAAAATGGAAATGGCTAATGTGGGATCATAAAGAGCAAAGAAAGGAATCAAATTGGGTTTTTTTTTTTTTTGTTTCACCTGATGTCCCACGTCCCATATGATTTTGTCCTGTGGAGCGTCGAAGACATGATGGAGCGCCACGGTTAGCTCCACAACTCCCAGGCTTGAGCTTAAATGGCCGCCTGTTTTTGACACAGAGTAAACAATATCTGCCCGTAGTTCTGCTGATAATTGATCAAGATCCTGAAATGTTCCCGTTTCCATCAAAACAACACATCTTGTAATACATAAATGAACTAATCACAAGTTGGTTCGGTTAAAGGAAGAAAACAATTTCGGTCCTCTAAAATCACTTAGAAAATTAATTCAAACAGAGTGGAAAGTGTTGTATTATTGACCTGCAGTGATAGATGCTTGATGTGAGAAGGGTAATTGATGTTGTCCAACAATGGGGTGTTTGGTTGTCCCTCAAAGGAATCGATATTCCATCCATCTTTTCCTTTGCTTATCGTCTTCTTCTTTTCACCATCTCTGCAACTGCTACTGCTACTGCTACTATGTGAAACTCCCAAACGGAACTTTCCATTCAATCCACCATTTCAGACCAAACAAACAAACAAAAAACGAAAGCAAAACAAAACAAAATAAAACATTTTAGTTTATCAAACTGTCAGGGAAGTTTAATGTTGGAGGATCCAACCCCTCTCCTAACTCTTGCTGTATTTTTTATTTTATTTTATTTCTTTTCAAATTATACTATTCTTAATAAACATCCAACCCCTCTCCTAACTCTTGCTGTATTTTTTATTTTATTTTATTTCTTTTCAAATTATACTATTCTTAATAAACAATAGTAAAACATATTTGATCATCAAATTTGAATTGCACTCGCAATTTAATTCCTATATTTTAAAATTAGTTAAAATTCAGTCCCTATCATTATTTATCAATTGTGTACAAATAAAATGGCTAGCTGTCTAGAGGTAAGGGTTGGTTAAATTTTGGATCGATTCTTGAAACGATTTAGGATTAAGAAAAAAAAGAAAAATTATAAGGAAAAAAGACTCTCTCAAAGCCTCCCCACCACCATCCTTGTCAAGTCGTCCAAGCCCACCGACAACAGCAATGGTGGTGGGAGGCCTTGAGAGAGTCGAGGTGGAGAGGTATTTTTCTTTTTTCTTAATCTTAAATTGGTTCAAATTTAAATCAACTCGAGATTGAATTGACATTTTTGACCATTTTACTTGTACACATGTATAAGCCACGTCAAGCTTATGTTAAATCTAACCTAGTTTTTTTATGGTGGGGATTATAATAGTATTGCTAAATATATGGACCAAATCGTTATTTTAATAAAAGTGTAAGGACCAAAGGTATATTTTAATCCAGTAAAAATGGTATTAATTGAAGCACATGTAGATTTTCTTAATAAGTATCATTGATAATGGGATGAATCTCTTTAATTACATCACCACATTTAAAAGTGATTCTACAAATATGAAGTCACCACAAAGTAATATACGACTTCAAAATCAAATTTCAAATATCTTACGGAAAGATCAGTCTTTTTCCCATTTTTATTTGTTATCAAAGATTTTAAATAATAGACCTTTTTTTTTGTCCAAAACACATTTGGTCTCTATAGTTTCACTAAAGTAACAATTTAGTTCCTCTGTACTTTCCCTAAAGCAACAATTTAATCCCTGAATTTTAACTTGCAACGATTTAGTCCCTGTAGTTTAAAATTTGTAACAATTTAGTCTCTATGGTAAATTTTTTTATTAAAATTAAGTGTCAAATTTTATCATTTAACATTTTAATCTTTCCAATTCATAAACATAGTTGGTCCCTCCTTAGTTTACCAATCCATACATATAAAAAACTTAACCCAAAAAAAAAATTCACGATAAAGACTAAATCATTACCAACTTTAAATTACAATGACTAAATTGTTACATATTACAGTTTAAGGACTATATTGTTACCAATTTGAAAGTACAAGAACTAAATCGTTATTACAAACTAAAGCTGAGAGATTAAATTGTTACTTTAGTAAAAATAGAGGACTAAAACTATTTTTTAACCTAATTCCTTCCTCACATTTGGTTCTAGCTGGTGAAAGACAAGAAAAATTAAAGACATTCAATAATAAAAATAATGAAGTGTCAACTTGGTCCAAAAAAACTGACAAAGAATACTTTATAATTATTTTTTAATTTTAGAAGTTACCATATCAGCTACTTTTATGTAAAAGAAAAACACTTGGGTCAACTACATTAACATTTGAAACCCTTCAAAATCAAATGGGCATAGAGTTTTGAGATGAGTGAGAGAGAAGATGAATTTAATAAACTAACCTGTTTTGCATCAGTAAGCTTTGGCCTTGGAGAATCCAAGCATGGAGAGAAGAAATGGTGAGGTTTTATCAGACACCCAGTTGCCGCCATAGCCAATAATTGTAACTTGAGTTTACAGACAATGTTAAAAAAAGAAAGAAAAAACTAAGGACAAAGAAAAACATACGAATTAACATGTTGGGTCCATAAAGGAGAGGGAATTTATAAGCATTTCAACATTAATTCAGAGTTGTTAAACAAGGAAGGTAATGAACTTTAATATCACTTTTTGTGAGTTTTAGTAAATTTTCCATAAATTGGCAATTTCCATTCGTCAATACAGATTCATCTTTTAATGATTCCAAAACAGTAAAGTTTTTGCACTATATGGTAAGTGCCAGTCAATTTATTAACTAGTGTGACCAATTTGTTCATTTTACCTGTTTTTGGAAAAATATAATGTGTTAATAATATTTTCTTAGTACTTTAACTAGTGTATGTTTGATATATTACTTAATTTGTAAAATTGGAACACTGCCTGAGACATGCTACGATATAAATGAGCGATATTATGATGAGTTGAACCGAGTAATTGATAAGTGGTAAGAGTACACTTCTTTGTGTTTAGTTGAGGATTTTGCGAGCTAGAGTACATGTGGTTAAGAAGGGCGTATGTCCTTTTTTTTTTTTTTTGACTTTGGACGTGTGCCTTTCAATTTGTCTAAATTAGTAAATCAAGCCATTGGTGATGCAATCCTGAGTTTCCATATTTGGTAGGACGGGCGAAATTTGAACTTTTTTTAGTATAACAATATGAGAGGGTGGAGATTCAAATTCATGACTTTTTGGTCGAATATATGCCTTAGTTAGTTGAGCTATGCTTATGCACATCATTTATGTATTTATTAAGGGGTTAAATGACTTTTTTAGTCTCTCCATTAAATTTTATGTTTATTTAATTATTTCCTTACTTCTAAAATCTTCACAAAATGGGTAAGAATTTTGATAAATCAAATTTGGTATTTCATACCATTTGAGAGTTCGAATTTCCTGTCCTATATGTTGTACTAAAAAAAAGTTCATTTTTCGCACTTAAAAAACTAATAAAAAGAAATAATTGACCTAATATTATTTTAATATGATATTTTCTAATCCAAACCTAAAAAGATATCATTAATAATCCTCGACCTTCTTTGATAGAGGAGCCACTCAGTATCAATAAGAGACCTTGAGTACAATATTTGTCTGTTCCTTTTCTCTCTAATGTACTTTATTCAATATTCTCTTAGTATCATTATATTAGTGCGATATCTGCGAGATTCATAAAAATTTGATTTTTTGAGGTTTATTTTTTCAAATTATTAGCACAAATTAGGTCCTAACATTTTCTCGAATTATCACTGTGCTTATGACAATATACTCTTTGAAAACTTACCTTAACTATCATTTATGAGTTACCATTGACAACGCCATTCATCATGTGAAATGACAACATTTTTCATACATTTACTAGACTACTAGTACAAGTACAACTCATTTTTAGATTCCCATAAACTCTGTAGATATAGAGCTTCATGTTCAGTTATTGGCAGTAGACACCTGAATTGAAAGAGCTTCTTTTGATCTTCCTAAAAGAGTTAGGATTGTTGCAGCTATGTGTCTTGATGACAGTCCTGATTCTTCGAGCTGGTCTCGTGGCGCCCCGTGGTCGATGTATCGATCAGGAAGAACCATGTTTCTCAACTGCAAACATGACGAACATGAACCGACGTTAGGAACAAGCGGAAATTTGATGATTGTATTGGGAGGAGAATGAGATTATTTGATGGGAATTACCTTGAGACGATGATCATCCAAAATCCCAGTTAAGCTTAGGAAGTAGGATACATGAGAACCAAAGCCTCCAATGGATCCTTCTTCCACAGTGATCAGAATTTCATGTTGTTTTGCCAATTGTCTGATGAGCTGTGTGTCCAGGGGTTTGCAAAATCTGGCATCTGCAACTGTTGGGCAAATGCCTCTTGTTTTCAGCAGTTCTGAAGCCCCAACACACTGTTGAACCATTGCACCATACCCCAATATAGCCACTCTGCTGCCTTCCATCAGTACTCTCCCCTTGCCGATCTATATATTCAACCAACACAGAATGTGTTACTTGTTACTCTTCTCATTGTCAAATGGTTTTGAGAGGGAACCGTCTTTTCTAACCTCGATACCTCGGAGTTGGTTTATTTTAAGCTTACCTCTAGTGGAATTCCTTTGAAGTCGGGAGGAAGAACGGCTCCGATACCATTGCCCCTAGGAAACCTGAAACAACTTGGTCTATCGTCTATGGCTGCTGCTGTTGCTACCATGTGCACTAGTTCAGCTTCATCAGATGGAGCCATGACGATCATGTTTGGCAAACAAGCCATGTATGTTATATCAAATGCTCCGCAATGTGTCGGGCCATCGGCACCGACCAATCCAGCTCGATCCATTGCGAAGCGGACCGGTAGTTTCTGAAGGTCTACATCATGTACCACCTAGATGATGATCACTCCATAGTCCATATGGTTAGTAATTAGGAGAATACAAGATTGTCAAATGAAAAGAAAATCTTTGGCATAACTTTTACCTATCCTTTCCCCTGTACGCACCTGATCAAATCCTCGCTGAAGGAACGAGGAGTAGATAGTACAGAATGGCTTAACACCCTCCGTTGCTAAACCGGCTGCAAACGTAACAGCATGTTGCTCTGCAATCCCGACATCGAAACAGCGCTGGGGAAACCTCTTCTGGAAATAGTTAAGACCAGTTCCACCACCCATGGCAGCGTGGATGGCCACGATCTTGTCGTCGACTTCGGCTTCTTTTATCAGAGATTCAGCAAAGTATTGAGTGTATGAAAGTGTGGAAGATTTTGGCTTGAATTGCTTGCCTGTTTTTGGATCAAACTTGACAACACCTAAATCATATAACAGTTGTAAAGAATTAAGTATTAGAGAGAATCCATGAAACAAACAGGAATATATTTCATTATAACAGAGTGTTACCATGCATTTTATCTGCAGCTGCCTCTGCTGGAGGATAGCCTTTCCCCTTTTCTGTAACTATGTGGATCAGAACAGGCCCCGGAGCCGGCATTGACTTAACTTTTTCAAAAATGGTGATCAAATCCCCAACACTGTGCCCATCCACAGGACCAATGTAGTACAAGCCTAGCTCCTCGAAAAAAGTAGACCCCGAGCCGCTTATCATACCTCTCGCATATTCGTCTACTTTCGCCGCAACCTCGTGTGCTTGATCCCCAATTTGCCTTGTGATGCTCTTCAAAAAATGAAAGTCATTAACTGTGAAAACTTGTGGCATCTATATGAAATATATAATCTCAAGGCTAGGGATGTGTAAGCGTATGCGATCCGCTGAGTTTTTACCTTTGCAGCTTCTCGAAGTTTTCGAAATTTAGTGCTTGATTGAAGCTTGGTTAAGGCACTGCTGAGTGCACCAACAGGAGTAGCAGGGCCATCGAGCGTAGCAGTCGGTAACGAGACTTGCTTATTGTCGTTCAGAATAACGATCATATTTGTGTCGAGGTAGCCTGCATTGTTCATCGCCTCGTATGCTTGGCCTGCTGTCATAGCTCCATCTCCAATCACAGAAATGACATTGTTTTTCTTTCCCAAAAGATCTCTTGCAACTGCCATGCCTGCATTGTTTTTCGTCGCAACAAAAATTCGTAAAACCGAAGAGAAGAAAGTGAAAAGAAAAGGACTAAATGGAGAGAGGCATACCAAGACCAGCTGATATGCTTGTAGAACTGTGTCCTGCTCCAAAAGCATCATAAATACTCTCATCCCTTTTGGGAAAACCAGCAAGCCCTGAAGTTTGCCTTATAGTATGCATTCTAGACCTTCTCCCAGTAAGGATTTTGTGGGGGTATGCCTGCAAAAAACAATTGCAAATATCAAATCTAATCCTTCAAAAAAGATCTCATTTTTGTCAACTTTTGTTGGTTATTCACCTGATGGCCAACATCCCATATGATTTTGTCATCTGGAGTGTTGAACACATGATGTAGTGCCACAGATAGCTCGACGACGCCTAAGCTTGCGCTTAAATGACCTCCGGTTTTCGATACGGAGAACACGATTTCGGCTCTAAGCTCTGCTGCAAGTTGCTCAAGATCCTGAAAAACATCTCGTAAGAAAAAACGAAAAACAAGTTGCAAAAATTGCCAAACCCGAGTGGTTTCTCTACCTGTAATGACAGATTCTTCATGTGAATAGGGAAATTCACAGTGTCCAACAATGGTGTCATCGGTTTTTCACCGGAGTAGTCGATCATCCATCCATCTCTTTCTTTTCCCACCAGATTGTTCACATCACCATTGGAGCTATCACTCGAAGCTCTCAAACGAAACTGCATACAACAGAACAAGAATCCTAGTTATAGCAATGCTAAATCCTTATTTTAAGCAACAATGCAAACAGAGGGGAGAAAAAGGGGGGGTTTTTGAATCGCCTGTTTTGAGTTCGTGAGCTTTGGCCTTGGAGATTCCAAGAATGGGGAGAAATATTGGTTGGGATTGATGAGAAGCCGAGACACCGCCGCCATAGCTGATCAACCAAGAAACAATATGAAATGAATGAAAAACAGAGGACAAGAAACAGGATTTATATGTATAGTTGTCAAGACAGAGAAATTGAAACCTTCAATTTCTCTGCTAATTCATGATCTATAAAAATAGGGAACAATTTACCAATTGTCACAAGACCAAAGGGAGAGTAAATATCAAATCGGAATTTAGATATATTAAATCGAAATTTATGGTTGGTGTCAAAGTCAAGAACCAATAAAATTTGACAATAGACCGAAGAAATGGTCGTTGCTAATTGGCTAATTGGCTAATTGCAGAGTAAATATCGTCCATGGACTTCAATCAGACTTTGAACAGTCTTCCACTGAAATTCCAACTGACAAAAAAAAAGGAGAAAAAAAAACTTGTCTGCCCTCTAAGTTGATTTAACTTGCCGATTTTTTTTAGTACAACATGTGGGGTGAGAATCAATTACCACTAAGCTATGACAATCAATTCTTTGATATAAGATTAAGTAATAAATGCGATATTAGCTTGGATTTAGAAATTATTTCTTGATTCCAAATTAATATATCCTAGGTTAATAGCTTAATTACCATCGTCTCTATATTTGTTGTACTCAAAAATTTTTTTAAAAAATTTGAGGTCTAAAATATACCTATGCTAAATATATTAGATGGTCCTTAACAATTTTTGGTTAGGTTTTTCTCCATTTGGTATATGATCTTTTAAAATTCTCTATTTTACCGTAATTAGAAAAATTCTCAATTAAGTTTTACGTAAAAAAAATTGTTATTATTATTATTTTTTTTTTTTGCAAAGAAATATGTTAAAATTTGTCAATAGATATATCACCAAAACATTATTATATCACCAAAATATTATTTTTTAACCTATTTGGATGCATGGTATATCATTTGGACGAAGAAAATTAACTTTGTTTATGAACGAGTTCAAGTTGATTTCATGTTTCATATTATATATATATAAATTTCTTGCCCCATCTTGCATAAGAAAAAGAATATTATGAAAAAACTATTTTCACCACATAAATTCATAATTGTCTTTTTTAGTTCAACAACGGCGGGATGAAAATCAAACCAAAAAGGCTTTTGAGAAGCTAATTAATATAAGAATAACATCACATAAGTGAAAGCTTTAGCAACTATTTTGGAGCATTTAAAAAAAAAATTATGTACTCAAAATTTCATATACTAAACAGAAAAGTATTAATGTCTAAAATTAACTGTCATTCTTTAAGTTGAAATATTGAAGGTGCATTAATATTGCAAAGATGTGGTTGAAAGACTAGGGCAAATGTAATTCGAGTCAGGTCAAATTTCTAACCAAAATAAACAATACGGGAGGCACAATCACAATAGATTTCGTTAGTTTATTGTAGAATAGTATCGGTCACCTCCACCTCCAATCTAAATTTCGATCCTTCTGATTTTTAAGAGAGGCAACATGCAGGGTGGAAATCCAACAAAATTATCCAAATAAAAAACTCAAAACTAATACAAGAAAAAATGAAAATTCAGGGAGCAAAACTTATACACATTAAGGTGAAATTAGGAAAGATCATCTCAAATACAGGAGTGAAATCGCACACGAAAATCAGCAAAATAGAAGCAGGTTTTTCCCTGATGAGAGAAATCGAACAAACAAGAGAGGAAGGGAGAAGAAATTAGAGATGAAGAGTGAAAAGAAGAAGAAATTACTTACTGTAGAGTAAAGCAAGAGAAGCTTTAGTTGCAGAGAAGAGAATCTGGATCGTAGAAGAGAGTGGAATGACGGTGGGCTAGAGCTACAGCGGTTGCATGATATAAGAGATTCAACGCTTCAATAGCAGACAGAACACAAATTACAGAGTGCAAGGAGGATTGAATGAGAAGGGGTCCTGTAAGATTAAAGAAGACTGAATAAGTAGGGGTCGTGTGAGATTAAAAAGAACTTCAAAATTACAGATTTAGTAAAAAAATAAAAAATCTCATTATATTAAAAAGAACTTCAAAATTACAGATTTAGTAAAAAATAAAAAATCTGAGGAGAGAAAATAGAGACAATAACAAATCCTATAGAAAGAAACCTATTTATAATACTATAATTCGAATAGAAAATCAAAATCAAATAATATAATCTAAACTAAATCTAATTCATATCCAATTATAATTTAAATAACAGTATCTAATAATATTGTTTAACAGTTACTATATAATATTTTCCTCAGAAAATTTATTTGAAAAGTGAGTGTACATTGCTAGTTTTAAGTAAGAACAATTATATTGAATAATTCTTTTCTCCCTTAATTAAACATATTTAGAACAGAAATTTGGCGTAATTTACCGGACTCTAAAAGATTTATGAAGTAAATTTGTAATTTGAAAACAACACAATATTACCTTTTCAACCATTTATATGGTTATAAATTAAAATAAATGCATGCATGTATTTAAAATCCAACGAACAATTGATGCTTAAAAAGGGAACTTATTCCAAAATTTGAAGAGAAAATTACCTTTTTAAACAAATTTTCTCATTTTGAAATATAGTATGTTTTGAATTGATTTTATTATTAAAAATAAAATAAAATAAAATAAAATATGGGGAGCATCAATGGATTTCTCCTCTGTCCAGATTCCTTCTGGGATAGTATTTGTCATCTTCCTCTGCACCATTCTTTGTCTTTCTCGCTCCATTCACACTTCAATTTCTCCTTCAATTTCTCGTATCTTTTACTTTCTCCTTCTCAATTTTTGTATTAATTATTTTTTCAATTTCTCCCAATTTTTTTGTGTAATCCACCTAGATGGGAAGATAATTAATGTAATACCATCTTAGATTCATTTTAATTTGGAGCTTTACCTTGTGTTAACCATTTACAAGATTATTATATTTAAACTATTTAATAAATGTCATTTCTCAAAAATAAAATTTAATAAACACTTCAAGAAGTTTTTTTTTTTTTTGGTTACATAGATAAGAAGGTAGGTTCATAATAGATGTATTTTAGTTTTTTTTTTCTAATGCAGTAATTTTAGGGATGATGATCCAATCGTCTCCTAATAGGTATCTTATCTATTTAAACTATGTTGAGCGATAATTGACATATACCTTCATCTGAGAGGTTACATACTCTTAACTAATTTTATCACACTAAAAAAAGATCCATCTTTATCTACAATTTAGTTTCGAAAAAATTGTGACAATATTAAAAATAAGCGGTGAAGTTCTCATTTTGAGCATAAACTTACGTAATTTTTATTTTGATTTTATCTAAAAAAGTTATACCAATAGATAAAGATATTGTTTTAACTTCTACATACCATAAATCTTTGTCACTTCTAATATTATAATTTTTTCTCTTTAAAATAATGCTACCTTTTAGTATAATGTTTTATTTTGAATCACAATTCTTTTATGAATGTGGCATTCTTTTTCCTAAATGGTGGGTTCTAATTGTACGTTTAATGTCTGCTCTTTCCATCACATCACATATATTAGTGATAATTAATTAACATCAGAAAACCAAGATCAGTCCTAATTCGGCTTTTCCTTGTCTCTTTCACTATCTTTTAGCAAGGTTCTTCATTGATTATTCCATCACCTATATACACACACACACACACACACATTTGATTTTCAAACATAATATATTCATTTAATTGGAACATATACTATTTTTAATTTCTGTTCTTGAACTCAAAATATATTATTCATGTTCTTGTTATTACTTCACAGCTAGATATAAAAGTCAGAGATTTAATTGAAAACGAAATCACTGTCATAAGTTCATAACCATGGCCTTATGCATTTTTTGTTTTTGTTTTTGTATTTATTACTTTTTTTTTTTGAAACAATTGTATTTATTACTTTGATCAAGTCTTTTTGAGAGAACCAATTATCCATATTATTCAAATTTCCCATAAGAAAAATGAGAGAAAAGACCAGTAGGGTTATTTGTTATGCATATAATAGTATAATAAAGATTATATTAAATGCCAATGTACGCATAGTATAATAAAGATAAAGTTTATTAATTTATGACAAAATTAGAGGTAAAAACTAACTTTTTTCTCCTCAAACATGAAAGAAACATTATATTCACAATTCTCAACTACTAAGACTCATTATTGTTTATCTTTAACTTTTTCGGTAGCAACCCATTTTAGTTAGCTATTAAAGATAATAGAGGTCTTTTGAAGTTAAATATACGAAAATTTCTTTACAATTTTTCTTTTTTAGTCCAACAAAAGGTGAAGGTTTGAACTACCGATTTAAAAGAAATATATGTGTCAATCACTGATGAACTATATCTGTGTTCACGAAAATTTGTGGACAATTGTAAATTATATTAGAGATAAAGTTCACTTTTTTTTTTTAACTTGTCCAAGTCAGGTTTTAGAGCCAAACACAATTTCCAAACTGTGTTGCATGCCAAAAGTTTTTCTTGGGGACATATCCGAACTTTCACTCAATGTTACAAGTATATTACCATTTGGCTTTGGTTATAATCTGAACATCATTGAAAATGCGACCAAAATTTTATATTGACTGGATAAAAGTAAAATTATGGAAGAATAAATAGAAGGTAATATTTTTAACGGGATGAGACATTTTGGATGCTACAAAAAAAAGTAGAGTCACGAGAACTTTATGTTTAAAGTAAATAATATCATATCACTGTAAAAACGTGGAGGATCCATTCTTCAAATTTTAAAAAGTATAGGTTAGAAAGTGAAAAATGATAAATCATATGTCATTTTTAGGAGTTAGCAAGTTTCTGAATAGTTATACTTTAGAAGTTTGAAGTATATCAGTCGACCATTCTTCAAGTGGAGGTCGAGAATCGGTGAACTACTTAACTCCCCACTCACCACTACCCTGCATATAGCGTGCCTAATTTTCCAGCTGCATCGTGGCCGGTCATGGTGCTAACTATCTTATGCTTAAAAATATCGAAAGTAAACTCATCTTCAAGTATGCGTGAATCTATGAATACACTTCAAAGTGAAATAGTTCGGACTTGAACTAATTTGAGCACCGATCAAACGATTTTGTGCTCAAATAGTATTTAATAGGTTCTTAAACATGACTGATTTATAAAAAATATTTAAGTTAACTATTAAATAAATTAAAAATGGTTAATATTAGTGATATTTTATTAATATGTTTTATATATTTTATAAATTCTTTTATGCAACACTTTATACTATGGAAAGGATCAGTTCCTCGTGTGTCGATGTGATCCAAAAAAGGATTTTGTTTGTTAGAATAAGGCATAGGCAGAACCTGCATTACTGATTACATAGCAGAGATTATTATATTTAAAATATTGCATGGTTTTGGTTTTATTTATTAAAATATATATGAATGGGGAGCATCAATTTCAGTGGGTCGGCCCCCCTCTTCTGGATACCTTCTTTTGAACTGCATTTCTCTTTCAATTAACTTTTTTAATTTCTCCTTTCAAATTTTGTTTCCTTTTCCCTTCTTTTATTTTAATTTTACCTCTTGGAAAGGATAAGTACCAAGTTTTCTATTTTGTCAATTTGTGAATCTCTACTTATTCCCCATTAATACTTGTACGACAAATTATTTATGTATAAAAAATAAAGGTATCTTTCGAATTGGTTTTGACATGTCGCTGTCAAAATTACTTTTTTTTTTTATTTTTTTGAAATTATGATATTTAAGGTGTGTTTGGGAGTGATTTGACATGATCAAAATTATTTTTATCAAATTAATATTCTTTTCATTTATCATAACAAATCATAATGATGATTTTGAAAAATCAATTATACTTAAATCTTTTTTTCTTTTCAAAATCACTCCTCCTCTAAACACACTCTTAGGGATATAATTGAGCGATAAAATCTCTCGACTCTTGGAATGATTTTGGAAAAAGTGATTTGAAATTAACTGATTTTCCATGATTTTCTAAAAGAGATTTCATGATTTTTTTAATCTATACTACCAGTGAGTGAGTGGTATTAATTTGATTCTTTTGTCAAGTAAATTTTATGCATTTTTGAAAATCACTCATTCTACCGGTGTTAAAAGTATTTTTACTAGCGTCAAAAACACTTTCCTTCCAAAATCATCACACTTGATTGACATAAAAGCATTTTTGAAAAAAGTAAAAAATACTTGCACAGTGACATTGAAAACACTCAAAACACGTTTAATTGTATAGGACGAAGCATTAATTTAACTTATTATCAAAAAAATTTTACCAAAGTGCCTGTAATTTATGGAAAGGATGGTTCTTAAAAAAATATCTTCATAACCAAACAAATTTTACAAAAATATCTTCCAAAACCAGTTCGAGCGTTACATCTTTTTGTAAATAAATAGGAAGATTTATGCACATTAAACTGGGCGCCAGGCTTGGGGAGCCTTACCTTGAACAACAAGACAAACAAAGAATTGGGTTGACCATAATTTGATGCATTGCTACAGTTACACATGCAAAGTGAAAGGCAAAAGAAAGAAATACATTTATAGTTCCATTATGCATGAAACGGATTTGGTCAAACAAAAAAAAAAGATATTTTCTTCTGAAAAAAATGAACATCTATAAAAAAATTTTATAATCAGACAACACGAAATTCATGTTGTCCAGTCAGTATGGAAGTATTGTTCATAGTAACGTCAAACAGAGTATACCAGAGAAGAACTATATTCTAAAATGTACAAAATTCGGTTACAAACTTTTCTTTCTTCTTTTTCAATGAGTAACGAACAAAACTTTGTAGAAGAAAACCATGAAGCTACAACATATCAGTATTTGATGACATGGTGCCGTAACCACAAGTCATACATCACCATATGGAATGCATCATACTTGATTGGAGGTGAATTCCATTGGAAATGCTTTTGAATCTGATGAATGTGAAAGATGAGGGAAGTTCAGTAAACATAATCTTCTTATATAATGATTTGAAAGGCAGCATATGGATTGATGGAACAGCTAAAGATTGAAAAATCTGCATTTAGCAGCTACCAGATGAAGAGGGTTGGAAGAGATTAAACAGTGTACCTTCACTAGGTTTTTGTGGAGTTTAATGAAGTCCATATCAGATATGTCCTTGAGAATTTGCTTTAATTGGTATACATCACGTTCCTTAACTATCACCGAAAACTTTCTCCACTCAAGAATATCATTGAAGGGAAGGTCATAATAATCTGACAATATCACTGCAAGAAATCCAATTAAGGGACTGAGTAAAGAGGTTCCCACAAAACATAAAATATAACACAGGTAAAATGTCCAGACATGAAGGTACAGGAGTTTGTTTAGTGATCTAATTCCTATACATATTTGAAAAGGTCAAATCGATTGTAAACCCCCGCCTTTACTAATACCCTTATGATGTGTTTGGGAGTGATGGTCAAATAATGAGTGATTTTGAAAAAAAAAAATTTCAAGTATAATTGATTTTCTAAAATCACCGTCCAAGTGATACCTTAAAAATCAATTTAAAGTCATTTTAAACTTTTCTAAAATCCGTTTTTTAATTTGCCAAACATAATCAATGGAAGGGGAAGTGATTTTGATAATAACAAAAGTAATTTTGGTCGTGCCAAAATCATTCCCAGACACACCTTTAATATACTATAGCTAAAAGTAAGCACAAACAAGCTTCTTAATGGGATGTCTTTTTGGTAATTTCCTTACAACTTGGAAATTTTGTACATTGCATTATACTTAATTGAAGGTTCTATTTCTTATCCAAAAAATAAAGAACAAGACGGAGGCATTGTGTAAAGTGCAATCCATTTTGTGACTCAATTCGAACTTCCATGAGTTTTCCATTCTGTTCCTTTTTAACTCAATTGGAATATTAGATTACCATCCCTACATGTATATAAATTGGACTTTATAATCATTAACACTTTTGTGTTTTTTATCCCAAAAAATGAAATGAAATGAATGAAAACCAGCATCCCCTTCACCACTTCCGCTAGAAAATAACTGAAGTAAATTAATTACCTAAACCTTTCATTAAAAATAAAAAATAGAAAACAAATTTACTATCTCCAAATAACCAAAACAAGACATGTTCTCACCCGGAATACATCCATAATGGATTGAGTCAGCTATTCGAGCACTGTTGACTTGAGAACCTCCTGGGCATATGCAGAATTTGGTCCTGTAAAATCTTTTCTGGTACAACAGGTGTCCAGTAGCCCTGTTTATCCTGTTGTTTGAAATGTCAAGTTCTGTATCGTTCTCCCACACACGTGCTAGTATAACTCTAATCTTAGAGTTTCGATGGCCAGCCCAGAATCCAAGTGTTGTCCTGTAAAGAATATTATCATCTCCATCAGCAATAAAATAAAATTTGTATTTGACAGATATTCTTCTCAGAGAAAAAGATGATACAGATATAAGATGAGATTAGTAAATGATCTGAATATAATATTTTAATCTAATTCAATGTCATCGAGAAATAAAACATTCAAAACGATGTGGTAAATCTGGCCAATAGTCTAGAAATCCCATCAGGGCTTAAGGTCAATATATCAAGAAACAGTGAGGCAGGCATAACATTCAAGAAGATCAGGTTGAATTGCTCTCTCCTCTTGTGCTAAAGGACGTTCACCAAATTATCTTGGTCTACTATCGGTGTGAACCCAAATCTTAAAATCTCATCTCTGAGAAGGAATACTCTCAAGGAGCACAGTACAATGCACCTGGAACTCTTCGATCACCACCAATTAGGAAAATTAATTAGTATTGGGTTCTTCCTTAGGACGAAGTCCCAAAAATTAGTCTTCCCATGATAAAGGAACCATATGACAAACCACACATTTTAAAGATAATTTTCCAAATCTTGAAAAGCTACATCTCAGTTCTTATTCAGATCTTCCCATTGTAAAAAAGATCGTTAAGGCATTGACAATAATATACCTCTTCCATTATATGCTATCTACAGGGATCTCTGAAAACTTCTCATCTTCTTTAGCAAATCCTCTACTTGCCTATATCTGAGAAACACCTACTGAACTCCTTAGATCCATCCAAGCTGCTGGTAGTCCCCACACATCACTAACAAGCTTACCTTTGGTCTCCATTATGTTAAAGAGACTTTGAAAGTTTTCTGACAACCTGCTCTAAGCTACACATCCTCCCTGAAACCCCATTTTCCCCTTTGCTCACCTTAAACCAAAAATCTCCACAAAACCCCTTCTTCACTTCATGACAGAGCCGCAAGGACTTCTAGAATTCTTGGTTAACAAACTATCAAAGAGACAGCCTAGTCTCTCCACCCCATAAATATTCACATCCAGCTTATGCTATAAAGCATCCCCTTCTCTAGGAATTCTTCACAGCCATTTAGCAAGAAGAAAAGCTTTTCTCCAAAAGGTCCTAATACTAAGCTTCTTCACAGTAAGTATAACCTTCTTCCAGTTAAAGAGATGACTCCCTCCATCACTATCTGAATCTTTATTCTTCCCAAATAAACTCGCTTCGAAACCTCTCAATCAACTCAAGATGCTTCACAGGAATAGGCATATTGACAAAAAATAATACAAAGGTACAAAAGAAAGGACAAATTGTTTCAGTGTAAGCCTGCCTCCTTTAGTCAAAGGGCTTTCTTCCATTTGTAAAGCTTCACCAGAAGTTATCATCTTAAGTTCCACAACTCTTTTTTTTTCTTGAATTATCACCAAGCAGGTAACCAAACTAACTCTATTTTTCTACACCTAGCAGATGACCCAAATAGTTCAACACCAGGGTCTATTTGCTACAAGAACAATCAATATTAACAGGACTCGCTTTATCCAGAATTGTAATCAAAGGACATCTCTTCTCTAATGAAGTTAATTCTATTAATATCACTCGACAATAAGATGAAATTTGAATTAATTTCTCATGATATCACACCTCACTTCTGTGTGAGAACCTGAAATAACTAACTAATTATTTGGTCGGTATTTCATTCATTTATAAAGTCATAAAGCACAAAATCCTTATACAGCCAAATTTAAATTTAACATAGATTGTTGGGTCTCTCTCTTGAGATCCTTCTTCTAAGACTGGAACGCCAAGGAGCCAAGCAAAAGCAATGGTACATATAGGTAGTGAGAAATTTTGTGATTAATTGTTGCAAATAATCCATTTTCATTGAGCCCCCAAGAGACGGGCCCATTGGCAAGGACTTGGGTCTCTTGGTCATACCAGCTTAAAGGTCTCAAGTTCAAACATTACCCGGGTAAGCTTGATACAAAAAATCATGTCTCCCCAGTCTGGACATTGGGGTGGGCGTAGGTGCCTCGAGTATAAAGGAGCAAAGCTCCGACTCCCGGTTATCAAAAAATAAAAAATTATGATCTATTTTCATTGATACATTGTAAGATCTCACCTCTTAGAGCAAGTTTATACAAAAGTATGTTATAACTTTTTCTTTCATCCAAATTCTGATTCTGAAAACATTAGACCAATAAAACATAAACGAGCTTTATGCATTGAGGATAAAGATTAAGGATCAAACAGTGAGAATACATATAACCAGAGTTAGGTTGAATTCCCAGCTAAATATGCTGTTGTTCTGTCACTATGCACTTCTTTGAGGGGAAAAACAAGTATAACTCAGAAAGAAGAATTCCTTTACCTATTTTCTAGATCATTTCCTCCAGCTGGAAGAGCAAATGGCTGCAGTACTTGAGGAAGAGCAACGTCTTTGTGGGGAATGAATCCAACATCATAACTAGGAGAGCACACAGCTCGAATTGAATTCTTTATAAGAAAAGGCAGCCCCTCAGAAGCTCTCACTCCAACATCATGACAAGTGACAAAAAGATGATCAGCACCCAAGGTTCTGTTCCAGTAAGGATACTTGGATATCAAGCCTTCGACATAATTTTGGACAATTATCGTCATATTCTCGTAGGAAGTGCCCTTCATTGTATCCATAAACACCATAATTTATAAGCCAAATTAGGAATTCAGAAGCTCTTTCTACGACTCACATTCCCCCAAAATCAATGCTACTAGCTTCAGAAATAACCAAGCTATAAGCTACAAATCCAGAAGGCAAATAACAAATCCACAAAAACTGGAAATCCCATACCCCACTGGTTACCCAATTGCTAGTTAATTAAAAAATTCCAAGGATGGGGTGAGAACTATACCTTGCCTCGCATCTTGTGGCATGAGATCGGAATGAAAAAGAGGTGGGCCTGATCCGGATCGTTGGTGCGGAAGTGACTCTCTCTAATATTCTGGAAGAAGTAACCTTCACTCGCATACTTTCCAGTGAGCTTCCTCGGAGTCTGGTAGAAGGTATTGGGATCGCCATCTGGGTATATGTAAACCTTGAATTTCCTCTCCATCTCCGCATAATTCAACCGAAAAACCTCAGGAGAGTGGTACACATCTGAAATCTCCTCTTCCGCGGCATCGCTAACGCTAACGCCTCCCAACTTAATGGGCAGCTTCGAAACGAAATTTCCAAATCCATGAGCAAAACTCAAAGAGGGAAAAGAATGAAACAAGAATTCAGCAACGTGAAATTAAGAGGATCGCGTACCTGAGGGGAGGGAGAGGAGGGAACAAAGGAGTGGAGGGAAGTAAAGGAGAGATAAGTGAAGGAAACAAGGGTGAGAATGGCGAGAGTGAGGAGAGAGCCCCGGAGAGAGCAGAGGGAAGAAGAAGACGAGGAGGTCAGCTGAAATGGCTGCTTGATAGCTGACATTACCAGAGAAAGTGAGAGACGCAGTGGAACAGTGAGATTCTGGAGCAAATCGGCGGCAAGAATGGGTGGTCGGTAGTACTGTAGACTGTGGAGAAAACGAATCCAGTTCCGGTTTCGATTTCGATTTCGATTTCGGAAATGGGTGTTCGGTGATGGCAATTCTTTTATGCACCAGAGGAAAAAAGTTAACGAAAATCTAACATAATGTCACATGATCAAGCCTCACGACGCTAGATTAGGTGTTGAATTTCGGTTTATGTTGAATAATTAATAAAATTTAACAATAAGAATAAAAAATAATTTTTAAGTGTTAGAATATAATATTTAAAAAGATAATTTCTCCTGATTTGAACTTTGTAGCTGTCTTGAAGTTATGCTCGTGCCTATTTTATTTTTAAAAATTGAAGGGTTAAACTTTAATGAATGTTTATTTTTAAGTTTCCAAAATGCAGTAAGTGTTTGATTGTTATAGTTAAAAAAAAACATGTCAATGTCTTTATAAAATAAATTTATACTTGGCTGTCACAATAATTTATTGCTTTTACATTACCTCTAAAATTATGGGAGAAAAATAAAATTTTAAAACTAACTGTTTTATTTCTCATAGCTAATTAAATAGGAACCAAGGGTAGAAGTTGAATGAAATATTTTCCTAAAAAATCATGCTAAAATTATGTTGCAGAGATGCTACATCTATTTAATTATGGGTTACATTAATAGAGTGCAAATTTAAATGATGGAGATTAAAAAATGTTTAGTGTTTAAAATCTAGTAAGATCGTGGAACAAGGAGGAGGTTTTCTGTCTCATTATATATATATTTTTAATTTATGCATAAAGGTTCATTTAAGTTTATAAGTGAAATTTTTTAGACTAGATGTCTAGTAATTCTAGTAATTGGCTGGACGACTCCAAATATATAATTGATGATTGAGCTTTCCTTTAAGTGATTTTTTTAAGTCAAAGGAATTGTTTACTAAGAGATAGTAAAAAAATATACGAAAAAAGTTCAAGGAGAGTGGTCTTTTTTTTCTCCTCAATTTCTCTATCTTTCTTAGTCCTAATAATGTAGCGAATATAAGAAAATTTATCAAAAGTGCATCGTACAAATGGATATTGTGAGTTATTTAAAAAAAAAAAAAGATATTGTGAGTCAATTTGAAATGTATTTTATGTTTCATCTTTTATTTCAAGGAATGAGAGAGAAGAGAGTTAAAGTAAAAAATACAAACCATCTTTGATTAGGAGAAGAAAATTTTAATCAAAGTGGTACGTTAATAATATATAAATGTTAAGATTTTGATGAATTTTTTCAAATAAAAAAAGATTCATTGAACAACGTGAGATTGGATGTGTGAGCTAGCTAAGAATTGGGGTTAAAATTGAAGTGGAGTTGAATTCTTTGAGAAAATGTTGGAACCCACCTCCAAATAATTACTTATTAACAAAGAAGAGAGATCATTACCGATGGTCTAGAAAATTGTAGAGATTTCTCTTAGTGCATAGACAATAAAAAACTATGTTGAAATGCTTAGGGTGGGTGCAAAAATGAAATTTTAGTACTCCAATTTATTAAAAAGATTAAGAGATAAAATAAGGTTAATTAATACATATGCTTTTATTGCCATTCTGATTGATTTTTAGATAAACTTCAAAAATCTCAATACAATAAGATGATTAAAGAAATTATTTAACTTGGATAAGAACTTAAAAAGAGATGTAGGTGATAATTAGAATGTGGTAAATAGGTAAATTGGATTGTCCACGAACAACACAGTGAATTAAGATATAACTCTTTAGAATGTTTGTCTCCTTATTTATTGAGATTATATTTAATGATTGAATACAACAAATGAGCGGGGAATTCAAACTTAGAGATTGGTACCCATTACCACTTAGTTAAACTCATTGATGTTTGATATTCTTCTCATAGTCCAAATGATAATTTGAGATCTTCTTTCCTAAAAATATATATATATATATATATATATATAATTTGAGATCTTATTTATTTTATAAGAATAATGCAAATATCTTTTTTTAAGTTTTGAAAGAATATATTTGATAAAACATTTATTGGTTGTTGCTCAACGTCCTTCAAAAAAAA